GAGCTGCTGATCAGGTGAGTTCAGTGCCGGGCTGAGGCATTATTTTTGCGAAAAAAAATTTGGCAGGCACATTGCCAAATTTGAATTTTAGCGATTTTTTTTCACGTTTTTAGATGATTTTTTGGAAGATTTCGATATGAGATGAATTTGGAATCGTTTCTATGGAATAATTTGTGTGATTTTTCTTAAAATTTACGGAATTTTACGAAAATTTTACGAAATTTCCCAAAATTTTACAATTTTGGAAATTTTGAGAAAAATTTTTGCAGTGAAAATTCTTTGGACGATGCAAACCGTGAGGTGAATCGTTTAGAAGATAAATTGAGCGTGTCGGAATCGGAGAATGCGTTTGCTGAGGGGGTACGGAGCAAATTGGAGGACGAGATTAGACGATTGAAAATGTTAATTAGTTTATTTATTATTGTTATTATTTATTGTTAATATTATTTATTATTATTGTTTATTGTTATTTATTAATAGAATTATTATTTATTATTGTTGTTATTTATTGTTGATTTAAATTATTATTGTTATTATTGTTATTTTAATCTGCCGAATTTTGAAGAACGTTGGAGCAAGCGGATATAGCGGGATTACGGAAGGCTTTAGAGGATTGTGAAGCTGAGAAGAAATTAGTGGAAGAGGATTACAAGATTAGGTGGGTTTTTAGGGGGGATTTTTATTGTTTTGGTTATTTATTGTTGTTATTTTTATTATTTATTGTTATTTTTAATATTTATTGTTGTATTTATTGTTTATTATTGTTATTTTTAATGTTTAATAATAATAATAATTTGAAGGGTAGCAGAGCTCTCTCGTCGAATGGACTTATTCCAAGAGGAAAATAAAAAGTTGAAAGGCGATCTCTTAGAAATGAAATCAAAACATCGAGAATTGGAGATGGAATACAATGGAACAATAAGAAAAATCAATGAAAAGGGTTGGTGATTATTATAATTATTAATAATAATAAATAGAATAATATTTATTTATTTATTTATTAATTTTTAGATGTGACCATTAAAAATTTGGAGCTGCTGAAAACAAATCTGCTGAAAGAGCTGGAGAATGAGCGGGTCAGATTTGACGCTGTAACATCCGAGTTGGACAATCTCCAAGTGGATTTTGATTCTAAAACGAAAACTACCGTAGCCGTTGAGATGACTGTCAAGGAGCTGAAGCGACAAAGGGACGAAATCAGGTACTGGAATTGAGCGTTTACTATTTTTTATTATTGTTATTCGTAGCGAGTGGGCGGGGCTTGCTCTAGTGGGCGGAACTTGTTTTAATGGGCGGGTCTGTGGAAGTGGGTGGGGCTTATTGCGCAAGCTAGTCGCGCCGCCATGCAAAGTTATAACCACTGGCGTAAGCGCCGCCTCCGTGGCGCACGCGCACACGCAGCGCCTTGTTGATGCGGAGCGTGCGTAGCTTCTAGCAGCTCAATAGCGGCAGCTCTATAGTAATAATTGCTGGTTGTTTAGCAAAGAAAAAGAGGACCTTTCAAAGCATTTGGTCGAGTTGTCACGTCGATTGGCATCCGAAATCAAGCGGGGAGACGACGCGGAATACATAATGCAACGTATTATTTATTATTATTTATTATTATTTATTATTATTATTTTTATTGTTGTTGTTATGATCGTTACCTTCGCAGAGAATATGAACGACATTGGACGAATGGAGGGCGACTTGCTGGATAATGAGAAGCAAATTTTGGCGTTGAGACAACAGAACGACGAAAGTGACACGAAGTTGGCGACTCTCAACGCGAAAATATCGAACTTGGAAAATTGCCAAGCGTCCAGCGCTCGCGAAATTCAGAAACTAACTGAACTGAACGCAAAACTACAGCAGGAGAAACAGGATATCATGAGGTGGGCCGCAACAACGCATTCTCAAATTTGCCAAATTATATTTTGAAAAAATGAAAAGACGCACGCACGCGTGCGTGTGTAGTTTGTAGTTTGATGACTTGTGTAGTTTGTAGTTTGAAACAAAAGTGTGACGTCATGGTGGATTTGCTGAAAGATAAACTGCGCAAAATGGATGTTGAAATGGAGAAGCTGAAAGGCGAAAATAGAGAGCTGCAAGAGCGCGAAGATGCAGCGCAAAAGCAACAAAAAGAAGACGCCAACAAAGTGCATCAGCTAGCGATGGAGCTGAAAGAGGCGGGCGCGGAAATTCAAGAGCTCGAACGTGAGAAATTTGCCGTTTTCTATCTTTTCCGCCTCCCATTTTCTCATGCTATTTCTCTTGACTTTCCCGTGTGCTTGTTTTCCAGGAAAATTGGCGCAAGTGGCTGAAGATGATCAACTGAGATTGCAACAAACGCGACAGGCATCTTCAGGTACTCGGGGCGAATTTTACAGATTTTAATTATTGATTTTACTTTTAATTATTTTAATTATTTTAGTTATTTTAATTATTTACAGATTAACTATTTTACAGATTACTGATTTTAACTATCGTTATTATGTTATGTTTATTATTATACTAGTTACTATTATTGATGTATTATTTATTATTATTATTATTATTATTATTATTATTATTATATTATTTATTGTAGATCAAGTAACTCATCTCGAAGTTACCGAAATAACCGAGACCAAAGTCAAGCAATTAGGCGACAAGCATAAATTGGAAATTGAAAAACTCGAGAATGATAAGGTTGCATATTTTGTTTATTATTATTATTGTATTATATTATTTACTACTAAAATATTTATTATTGTAATATTTATTACTGTTTATTGGTTATTTACAATTATTGTATACATTATCCATTTGCAATATTCATTGTAATAATCGCAGTTTGCCAGTGTTGGATAGGCGCCAACAAGGGGTGGGGACAATTCGCCAAAAATCACTATTCCTTCCGAGTTTCATCGGAATTTTCAAATTATTTTCTATTTATCCGATGTTTTGCGA